AGCTCTATATAGACTCCCTGGATTTTAGAAGTTCTTGTCTTTAAAGCCCTAGTTTCTAAATACTGTCATGGTCTGCGTCTGCCCCTTCCTTCATGTGCCTCCTGGTGTTTCTCCATCCTCTCTAGGTGCTCCTTCTGTGTCCTAGCGCCCTCGTGATTCATGTCTGCATCTTCCTCATGTGTCTTCTGGTTTTCCCCATTTGCCCCTAGACCTCCAGCCCTCTAGGTTTCTCAAGCCATTTCCTTTAATTACAGCCTTTCATGATTTAATATGTTTTTTCCCATCAGTGTTTATTATTTTTCTCCCCCCTCCCTTTGAATTGTAGTTATGTTTCCTGCTCTTTTGTAGTAGGTTTAATTCTTAGGTCAAGTTAGTTCTCCTCTGATTAGTCATTGCCTTCACCTGGTCCTCCTCCCACACCCCACACACCTGCAGCTCATCTCCCTCTCATCCTCCCTGTGTATTTACGCCCTGTCTTGTCTCAGTGTCTTGTCGGTCCATTGTTTGTATTCTGTCAGTCTCGTCTCTCATCTCGGATTATTAGGGTTTTTTGGTCTTCTCGTGTTCAGAATCAGAATCAGAATAGGTTTATTGCCATTGTCAGTGAACAAACAATTCACAAACTAGGAACTTGCTTCGGTACTAATGTGCTACATATAACATGAATAATAAGATTAAAAATAGAATAAAATAGAATAAAATATAATAAAAAAAACTAGAATAAAACTTTCAGCGATTAAAAAATGGCAGGTAATGGTAACATGGCCGATAACGTGATGTTGTGTCGAGTACAGAAGACGAGCATGGTTGTGTGTTTATAAGCTGTTCACAAGTCTAATGGCAGATGGACAGAAGCTGTTCTTATGGCGGGAGGTTCTGGTCCGGATGGACCGTAACCTCCTGCCTGAGGGAAGCGGCGCAAAAAGTCTGACTCGGGTGAGAAGGGTCAGCTGCTATCCGACCTGCACGCCCCCGAGTTCTGGAGACGTACAGGTCCTGGAGAGATGGAAGGCTGCAGCCAATCACCTTCTCAGCAGAGCGCACAATGCGCTGCAGTCTATGCAGCGATGGAGGAGGTGAGGGTGGACAGTGTTCTCTAGAGTTTTGGTTTTCCAGATCGTTATCTGGATTTTGGCTCCCAGCCTTTGGACTTATTTTTGTTCTCCTTAAAAATAAAGGATTTTTTCTTATTCATCATCTCTGCCTCGTGTCATCCTGGGTGCTGCATTTTGGGTCCTACCATCCCGTAACGTGACAAATACATCACACAGTTACATGTATGATGAGTTTCCAGCTATTAGTGAACAGAAACCTGATTGAACCTACAACCTGTTGTGTAGACTCTGTAAGTTTATGAAGAAATGCAGATTTCTCAACATTTATTTTCTTATCTTAACCTTTAAAATAAATAAGTTGAACAAGTGGAGCTGGCTCTGTGGGCTGCATCAATTATAAAATACCTATCTACAAAACAAAACAAAAACTGAAGCTGCTTGAAATAATGAATAAAAGTGGTCATGCTTCAGGTCACTTATGTTGCATGTACCTGTGAAAATACAGAGAGCGAGAAGAGCTGCACAGTTCTTGAGTTAGGGTAACCTCAACGCTTAGATCTGTGGATGACCTGCACATCTCTCAGGAGGACTGCAGTATGTAATGACATTATGAGAAATGAGCCATCACACATCCTTTGACAACACATTTCCTCTGAGTGTTCCCCACAGAGCAGTTCCTGTCAGAACTTTATCACTATCGGTAAAATGGAAGTGTTGGAGCAAACCTGCTGCTGGATTATCAGACATGCAGAGTCCACTTTTAAACCGGAATCTCCTCAATTGGAAAATGCATTGATTTGGGATCCAACTTAACCGCCTGGGAAACGCCGTGTGGACATACTGCCCTGGAGATGAGAGTGCTGCTGACAGCTTTGACTCTGCAGCTCCTGTACAAATGAGTAGGTGGGAAAGAAGGGGGAGGAGAGAGAGGGGGAGAGCAAGCAACGGCTTCTCTTACCACCGGAGGCCCATCATGGAGCGATGCTTTGTCGAAAAGCTCTAATATCTCTTAGATGAAAGGGTCAATAGTGCTTTAATGAAGATTTAGCATTATGGCCAAAGGACGTGTGTGTGTGTGTGTGTTTCCCATCTAGTCTATAGATATGTTGCATCTGGATGTTATTGATTTAACAATGTTTTCATCCTGTACGTAACTTCTTGTTGAGACAAGAACACAACAATTCTGAAGCTCCTGGTGCCAAATGAACATGGATGTAGCTGTCCTGTCATCCAATCACTGCACGTGTTTGCAAAGTAAGTTTTGACATTCAAAGCAAATAAGTATTAGGTTCACTTCCATTCAGTACCACGACAATGTACTACTGAGATATTGCCATCACAGTAAATCATAGATGGTTGTGATCTACATGAAGATGAGTGCATTCAGGTTAGGGTTAGATGATGTTTCCAGCCAAGACATAATAAAGGATTCAGGATCTCTTAGGTGTGTTCTTGCTGTGCGTTATTTCTAATTCCATGTTGTCGTTCTTTTTTAAAACACAGAAACGGTTTTGTTACCTGTAATTGACGCTACCACCTAGCGACAATTACAGGTAACAAAACCGTTTCTGTGTTTTAAAAAAGAACGACAACATGGAATAAGGATTCAGGATGTTTTCCAGATATGGGAACTGTGGCATCAACAAGTCATCTCCATGGCATGTTTTTCTTCAGCTCAGCAACTAAACCAGGTGATTTCAGTCAGCACAGTGAATGAACCTGGTTCAGGCCCTGTCCACACGTGTCATCCACACGAAAACGGATCTTTTTAAAAACTCCGGCCAAAGTGAAGATCTGCGTTTTCTCCGTTTTGGGTGTCTGCGTGTGGACGGACAAAACCGGAGTTTTAAGGTCCGCAACGTCACTTTCCGTGACAAAAAAATGCTGACATCACGTGTACGACCTGTGTTTACACTAGCCGACAGCATGGATGCCCTCAGAGCTGCACTCGCTTTATCAATTGTCCAAGCACTTTTTGCTTGTTTGCTTTTGCAAGCGGAATTACTGCTCCTTGCGGAAGACCACAGACGAAGGACGAGGTTAAGAACGGGGGAAGTACTGCCGCCTACAGGTCTGGCATGTCCTTAACAACGTATTTATCCGGGTACGTGTGGACAGAGTTTTTTTAAAACGAGGTAGTGTGGATGCAAGTTTCTGGAGGGGCGGCTATTCGTTTTTTAAAAAAAACCCGGCTACGTGTGGACTAGGCCTCAGTTGCTGAGCTGAACAAAATCATGGCATGGAGATGACTTGTGTATGTCAAAGTTCCTATCTCTGGTGTTTTCACACTTGGAAGTGTTTAGTCTGTTTAATTGAAACCTTGCTTCTTTTTCCTCTTTGGTGTCTTATGTTTGTGTAAGTGTGAACACAAAACATTCACCAGAACGAAAGGATCGTTTGGAGAAGGTGATTCCAGTATAGTTCCAGACTAACTCCAGAGTGTTTTTAGTGTGAATGTGAGTGGACTGTGATCCAGCACAACGACCACATATACCTTGTAAGTTTGACCCTAACGCTGTCCTGTAAGAAGGTTTGCGTTGCATTCTGAGTAGTGGCATACCACACAAATGTCAGGAGCAACTGAGTGGCTGCTTGTTTGCTGGAAATGAAACCAGGGATCACAGTGAGGGAACATCAAGACGCACTGCCTCAGTAACGACTCGTGGTTTAAAGGGTCAAACCAAGATTTGTTTGTAGTTTTCTCTCTGGGAAAAGAAAACTACAAAAAAGCTGCAAACACACACCCCTTTGATCTGATTATGACCCCCTTCCTCATGTTTAAGAGTCCTTTCCCATTTTCTAATCTCCTATTACACCCTACAGAGCACCCCAGGCAGGGGCAAACAACTCCCTTTCTTGATGGCTGGTGTCCAACCTGTTTTAGTGGTTTCCCTGCTCCAACATACTTGATTCACCTGTTCAGCAGCCCATCAAGTCTTGCAGAGGCCTGATAATCACCTGCTGATTAAAATCAGGTGTGCTGCAGCAGGGAAACAACTAAAACATGCCGAACACTTCCATGCTGTAGTTCTTTTTTAAAACACAGAGCAGTTTTGTTTACCTGTTTTCCCGCTGTGTTTTAAAAAAGAACTACAGCAAGGAATTAAAGAAACGACCCAGCAAGAACACACCTAAGATGCTGAACACTTGTCTACTCATGACCCCAAGATTTCCTGTCTCTTTGTCTCGACTATACTGTGTTTGTGTTTAGAGTGCATGAGTTGAGGGCAACGTAACTCATCATCATCAGAGTGTGAATGTGTGTGTGAATGACTTGTGACTTGTGTTGTAAAGCACCTTAGGGGATTCCAAGACTCTATAAGGTGCCATATTGGCCACATACAGGCCATTTTATCATTTAAATTTATCAATCAAGAGTCATTATTCAGATGACAGTAAGCCGGAACGCCCCTGCCTGTGACTGGAGCACACCTGGGAACCCTTGAAGCCTGAAACACAGCATAGTGTTGTAGCTCATTTGTGTTGTGGTCATTCTAGAGATGCACGGTCCTTTCAAGTGACAACTGTAAAGGTGGCTTATCAAGCTTTCCAGCAATATTACATTTATAGTCAGTGCAATACAGTAACTAAACTCATATTTCTTATTTTCTGGTTTAGGGTCACATTTCACACATTTCACCTTTTTTCGTAAGCGAACTGAACAATTTATACACTAGTGGTAATTTATTTCCTGTTGTTGTTTGTGTGTGACATCGGTGAGTGTAAACAGCTACCATAAATAGTTAGGCACGCATTTAAAACAGGCTCGATGCATTTAAGTTGAAGATTTTTCAAGTATTTTTGAGACAACGACGACCTCCAGTCCGACAGCACCATCTTTTTCCATACTGCGACACCCATTTTGATGTTTATGTGACTGGAGTGTGCTTCCTGCAGAGAGGAGCTCAGGCCTACCTCATTTTCGCCTGGCGGGTCAGCCGCTCTGTGTTTCAGTCTGAAGCCGTTGGCTGCTACGGAACCGCTTGGCTCTTTTCTCTACTAGCGAGCGAGCCCATATTCTATACCCCACTGTAAATCCAGCTAAATTTATGTGGATTTATGCCCACCTATACCCGTCAATCTAAAACACGTCGATCACTGGGAATTTTAATCATCGCCTGGTCGGGTCCGAAGGCCGTTATAACGCGTTTTTGGAGGTTTAAACAGAGCTCGAAAAGCGCGGTGGTGGAGGAGGAGATTCCACATTAGGAGCACAGAGGAGCAGGCAACCCTCCCCCTTCTTGTGTGGTTTGGATCTTTAGGTGAGTGTTTGTTATCTTTGCGCTTTATTATTGCCGTTATAAATTATACCTCTGCGCGCAGGGATCATCTACGATCGTGTAATAAAGGTTAGAATGTGTTATAACGCAGTTCTGAGCGTTTATTTTGATGTTTCCTTTCGGGGTGGGGGATGGGCAACCTCAGCGCGTGAGCTGGCGCGCGCGTCCTGTGCACGTGTTCGTAGAGCAGTTCTCGTGCGTGGTTTGTGTTTGTGAGCGCGCTCTCCTTCCTGCTGGCTGTAATGAAAACCACTGTACACATACCTAACCGCAGACATCTAGAGAATGTTTAGAATATTAAAAAATTAGCTTTTGTTTTATTATGTTAGTTTTATTTAGTTAGCCTGAAAACTTGACATTACACGTCATCAAAACTTCATTTGACGTTTTTGTTTTGACTGATACTTTCCCAAAGTGTAGATTTGTACTTTTGCTTTTTATTTACGTTTTTGTGATTGAGTGCTTTTTAGTTAACCATTGATTCAAGGGTTGCTACAAGACCCAACATATAATCATAAACAAGTATTCTGACCAGCAGGATTAGCTTTACCAGGCAGTGTTTATTTAATTTACTGGCTCTTATTTCATAGACTGTCAAGCACATGTGACATGCAAATTTGAGATGTCCTAAAGTTTGTTAAATGTTTTATTAGGCCCGAGCAGCGAAAGCGCTGCGAAGGCCTCTTGTTTTTGCTCTGATTATTATTATTTTTTGTTATTCCGTGCCCCCTTTGAACAGCTTTTTGGGGACCTTAACATACCCCAAAACTCACAATATTTTGCACACTTGTCAGGCCTGGTGAAAAATTTGATATTTTAAAGGTCCCAAAAAAATCGCAAAGAAAATGGCTGAACAGCGCCCCCTACAAAGTGAAAAAAACCCCTCTCCATAAAGCTTAGTTTATCGTACAGTTATGAAATTTGGTACACTTGTAGTACTCAACAGTCCGCACAGAAAAGTCTCTTGCAACCATGGTCAATATCAAACAGGAAGTCGGCCATTTTGGGTTGAAATGGCGATTTTTTGCCGTTTTTGCCGTTTTTAGGGTCCGTTTCTGATTGGATTGCTCGATCATTTTTCGCACGATCGTCTCAAAAATTGTGTAAAATTGCTCAGAAGGGATGGGCGAACAAAATGAGATAAGGATTCTGAGTTTTCGTATATGTTGAAGGGGCGGAGCCAGGCCTCGAAGTTTGACTACTCGCCAAAAATATTTAAATTGCTATAACTTCATAACTGAATGGAATAGAGTTACCAAACTTTCTGTGGTCATTCGTCATCCACCCACAAAGTAAATTGAATGGTCGGATGATGACATCACACAAGCCCCGCCCCCTCAGGACCAAAAAGATCAAGTTTTACTGTGAAAGGTCCCAAATTGCCCCATTTCACTTAATCACCACAAAATTGTAGCTGGTAACTCAAGACAAGTGGGGGTTGCTTGGCGTCACTTTATGGGAGTTTTCGGCAGAGGGCGGGGCTGTGGCGGCGCGGCGAATTCAGGCGTATCGCCTTGGCCTTACGTATGCCTCCCATTTCGTCATTTCCAAAGATATCGTCACGAAACTTCTTGTGAGTGATCCTAGTCCGGCCCCCCAAAAGATCTGATGTGAACATCTGGTGGGCGTGGCCTATTTTCTGAAATAGCACCCCCTAGGACCATTGAAACTGTCAGCCCCAAGCCATGCTTTGACTGAGGATTACGAAATTTGTTACACTAATGTGGTGTCTCAGGACCTACAAAAAAGTCTCTTGAAGCCAAGTGCAAAGTCGCACAGGAAGTCGGCCATTTTGGTCCAAGTGCGCGATTTAGTGGTTTTCACACACGTTGTTTGGAGAGTGATACTCCGTCGCCCTTTTCACCAATCACTTTCAAACTTCTGCTATATAGTCTTAAGACATAGAGGAAAAAATTCAACCGTCGGATTTTAAATAAGTATAAAGGTGTGGGCGTGGCTAAGCCTCAAACTTTGACCTTTCGCCACGCCACTCTTTTTTTCACAGCTCCTTATTGGACTCCTTTTACCCAATCACCAGGAATCTCTGGTAAATAGCAGCAGGCAAGTTGAGGTCACTTGGTCTCCAGTACTGGAAGGTTTTGCAAAAAGGCGGGGCTTTGGGAGCATGGCGAAATTCGCCATCACGCCATGGAAATACGTTTGCCTCTCATTTCTTCATTTATCGTGATATCACCTCGACCATTGTTGTGAGTGATCCTAGTCTGACCCCCATTAGAAAAGGTCAGCTTAAGTTTGTGGGCGTGGCCTATTTTCTGTATTAGCGCCCCCTAGGACCATTAAAACTGTCAGCCCCAAGCCATGCTTTGACTGAGGATTACGAAATTTGGTACACTAATGTGGTGTCTCAGGACCTACAAAAAAGTCTCTTGGAGCCAAGTGCAAAGTCACACAGGAAGTCGGCCATTTTGGTCCAAGTGCGCGATTTAGTGGTTTTCACACACGTTGTTTGGAGAGTGATGCTCCGTCGCCCTTTTCACCAATCGCCTTCGAGCTTCTGCTATATACTCTTAAGACATAGAGGAAAAAATTCAACCGTCGGATTTTAAATAAGTATAAAGGTGTGGGCGTGGCTAAGCCTCAAACTTTGACCTTTCGCCACGCCACTCTTTTTTTCACAGCTCCCTATTGGACTCCTTTTACCCAATCACCTGGAATCTCTGGTAAATAGCAGCTGACAAGTTGAGGTCACTTGGTCTACAGTACTGGCAGGTTTTGAAAAAAGGCGGGGCTTTGGGAGCATGGCGAAATTCGCCATCACGCCATGGCAATACGTTTGCCTCTCATTTCTTCAATTATCGTGACATCGCCACAAAATGTCTGGTGAGTGATCCTAGTCTGACCCCCAATAGAAATGGGCATCTGAGATTTGTGGGCGTGGCCTATATTCTGAAATAGCGCCCCCTAGGACCATTAAAACTGTCAGCCCCAAGACAAGGTTTGACTGAGGATTACGAAAATTGGTACACTCATGTAGGGTCTCTGGACCTACAAAAAAGTCTCTTGGAGCCAAGCGCAATTTCGCACAGGAGGTCGGCCATTTTGGTCCAAGTACTCGATTTAGTGGTTTTCGCACACGTTGTTTGGACATTGATGGCCCGTTGCCCTTTACACCGATCACCTTCAAACTTATGCTATGTACTTTTAAGTCAAAGGGGAAAAAATTCAACCGTCGGATTTTAAATAAGTATAAAGGTGTGGGCGTGGCTAAGCCTCAAACTTTGACCTTTCGCCATGACATTACTTGACTTAATAACTCCCATGTGCATGATCAGATCTAATTCAAACTTTGTCTGTGTGATCACTGACCACATCTCAAGACAACGACAATGTGGACAGCTGACATCACCTAAGCCCCGCCCCCTGACAACAGGAAGTCTATTGTTTTATGGTGAAATGCCCATATTTGTCCCCTCTAATTTAATGAAAATGACACTCAGGTCATACAGTGTCTTCATGATGTTTTAAAGACCATTCAGATCTGATAGCTTTCCAGAAAGGGAGGGGCTTTGATGCCATGGTGAATGCTGGCGTGACGCCATGACCTTACATTTGACTGTAACTTCCACAAACGGCCTCCGATTTGCCCGAAACTGAATATGGCAATGAACAATCATGCCCTTTAGCCAATGAGGCACAAACGGTTGGTGAATGTTATATAATGTCACCAAAGCTGACCTCAATGGGACTTTTCTGTAGTTGGTCACAGCGCCACCTAGATAACGTTATCCTTCGATAACTTTAAAAAACATGGTCAGAATAGCATTAAAGTTGGTCACTGTCATCACACCACCAGTGTGGTAAAGATAGAGGATTCCCTAGTGGTGAGACATAAAATATAATGGTGGGCTCAAAGGGGATGCTGAGTCAGGGTGAGTTGCGGACAAGGTGGCCGTTAGCAGTTTCTGGTGTTGGGGTGGTCGACGTTTGTGTTCTGCGGACGTGCCCTGGTGCCCCGGGCTGCCGGCCAGGCAGGAGCGGTGCAGAGCTGCGAGGGCCGAACGACGCTGCTTGCAGCTTTAATTACCTTTGTTTTTTGCCAGTTTGATGGAAAGCTTACTAGAATGCAGTGTTGCTGATTGTTTCAAAGCCATAAGTGTGTGGGGGAGGGACACACACACACACACACACACACACACACACACACACACACACACACACACACACACACACACACACACACACACACACACACACACGCATGCAAGGATGGCCACTTGCCAATCTTGTGAATCTCAACTCAATGACACAGTGAAGTAATGTAAAGTTTACATTACGGAGTAAAAGTTCGCAGACACGTTTGTTTATATTTGGCCGCTGCGCCGGGTGGGGTGAGGGGGGACTCGGTGCTGCAGACAGACAGCTGGTGTGGTCAGCTCTGAAAAGCGTTGAGCACAATTTGCAGAACACATTTATTTTTCACGGAGATCGACCGTAGATTCCTCTTCCGTCAGCATACTAGGAATCGAAATAAAAAACTTTGAACCAGGGCTGCACAATATATCGAAAAATTATCGTCATTGCGATAACAGGAAGTGCGATAGGCCCATCGCAAAGCACGGTCAAAGCGGCGATAAATGTTTGGTTCAAACATTTCCATCCGTGTCGTACATCAACTTTTTGTAAACGAGCTCTGTTTTTATGCGGAAGTATTATTTGACCAATCAAATGTAGCCCTTCTGATATGCGGCCAATCAGATGGGTCCGTACACGTAATACGCCCACCCCCTACGTGGACCCTTAGGATGGGTGGAACGCTACACCCGAACTGAGTTAAGCCTGATTTATGCTTCTCTGTCTGCGTCAGTGCGGAGACACGCAACGCCAATCAGGATAGTTGATTTGCTGCTGCACATAAACTGTCAGTCAGAAGCTCTGCTAGCCGGTTATCTTAGAGGAGCTAGTTCAATTTGTTAGCTTGTTATCAGAATCATAGTTGCAGTTTCACCATCTGAGCTGCTTTT